AGAGAAAAACTAAAAAAATTAACAAGAAACTTTGGATTTAAACTATATTATACTAATAAAAAATGCTTAGTTTGTACGAGGCAATTAGTATTAGCTTAAAGCGTAGAGCAAGTAGTGAACACCTGTTATGACTTGCAGTAGGACATTTTTTAGATACTTTTACTAGTAATAAGCAATATCAATATATTGAATATAATGATATTAATTTTTATGAAAAAACTGCAAAGAGCTTTAATGATCAAGAGGCATTAAAAAGTTTAGCTTCAGTATTGAGGAGAAATATAATAGTAATAAGCAGCAATCAAGCAAATCCAGAGATCTACAAAATTAAAGATGCGGAAGAAACAATTTATATAGGTTTAGAAGAAGCAAATAAAAAGCATTTTAAATACTATAGATCTTTAAAAGTTTTAGACAATAATCTAGTTATAGAAAAAAATTATCTATCGAAAGCGAAGGAAATAAAAGCTACAGAATATAAAAGTGATATAAATCTTTTTGAAAGAAAAGAGATAAAAAAATTGCTAGAAGCAATTATAAAACAAGAATCAAAAGAAATAACAGCATGCAATTTAGTAAGAAGAGAAGACGGAATTAATTATTTTACAAGTTTTTTTAATAAAATAAAAGAAGAATATGAAGAAGGCAATAAAGTAATGAAAAATCCTGCCTATATGGTTAGGATAGGAATTAAAAAGCCAGAAAGTAAAGAAAAAATCGAGATATTAGAATGTGCATGTAATTTAGACAAATCATTTTCATTACCAGCACACTATAATTTAGCTTATGCAGTAATTGAATATCAGAAAGAAGATTATCAACAAAAAGTAGTTACTAACTTATCAATAGCAAAAGATCGAATAGATGAAGTATTAATACCTCATTTACAGTATATGCAAGTATTACTTCCACTTGGCCAAAGCTGTGAATTATCAAAGCAAAAAATTAACAAAATAGAAATGTTAAAGACAATTAAGAGTAATATAGAAGAAATAATTAAAAAATGCAAAAATGATAGTAAAAAAAATATTAAAATAAAAAAAGTTCCATTAGAAAAATATTTTAATAATAAAGATTTAACGATTGAAATAAAAGAATTTGAAAACGAAGGGTTACAATATCTTTTTGATATAAATATTGAGATAGATTGGTTTGGAGTAATATTTTTATGTGTAGCCGGAACAGTACAAATAGTAATAGGAATATATTGTGCAATACGTGGCCATACAGAATTAGGGAAGTCTTTTATTGCAGAAGGTTATGAAGATTTAATAAGTTCAATACTTCTATTAAAGGATAAGAAAAAATTTAACATGAGCAATTACATTCAACGAAAAACAATTTGTTTACTAATAGAATCATTTGCATATGGATTAGAAAACTTATCAAAAAAAATACATAATTCTATGAAAAAAGTAAAAAAAAATAGCTGATTCTTCATCTAATTCACCTGATTCACCACGTTCACCAGCTCTATCAGCACTTAAAGATGCAGGACAAAAGATGGCAATAAGAAAAACTTTAGATTACTTATTAGATAAAAGCGCAGATGAGATTATAAATCGATTTAAAGAAGATGTAAGAGAGAATATATTTAAAGAATTAAATCTAAGTCTTGATGATCCAGCTATAATAAGATATTTAAATAAATTAGCAGCTGCAGATGAATTATATGAGGAAGAATTAAATAAAATAACAACAAGTACATTAGAAATTTTAGAAGATAAGAAAAACATATTTGTAGAGTTTATTGAAAAAGGATTAGAAACAATATTAAAAAGTAATTTGCCAATATTAAAAGAAGCTAGGGAAAACATAGGTTATAAATTAACGAAACATGGCACAAATTTAGTAACAACAGTAACAACATTACATCAAATAAATAAAATATCAAGAGAAACAGCAAAAGAAATATCGGAAGTATTTAAAAATAAGTTAAAAGAGTTATGTGAACAAAAAGTAAGTTTTGAAATAATTTTGGAAGGAAAGTTAAAGCCAAAAATAAATTTAAAAGATGCAAAAGCTATAGTAAAACTATTAAAAGAAACTACGGTAATAAAGGATGAAGAATTTGATAAGGAGAAGGCACAGAAAGTAGATTTTAACAAATATAATAATATTAAATCAGA